CATATCAGACAAAAGACTGATCTCCAACATATAAAAAGAACTCAAGAAATTAGAGATCAAAATTCCAAATAACCCTATTTAAAAAAATGGGGTACAGAGAATTCTCAACAGAAGAAGTTCAAATGGCCAAAACACACTTAAGGAAATATTCAACATCCTTAGTCATCAGGAAAATGCAAATCAAAACAACTCTGAGATACCATCTTACACTTGTCAGAATGGCTAAGATCAAAAACACCAATGATAGCTTATGCTGGAGAGGATGTGAAGTAAGGAGAACACTCACCCATTGCTGGTAGGAATGCAAACTTGTACAAACACCCTGGAAATCAGTATGGTAGTTTCTCAGAAAATTGGGAATTAACCTACCTCAGGATCCAGCAATACCACTCTTGGGCATAAACCCAAAATCTGCTCAATCATATTACAAGGGCATTTCTTCAACTATGTTCTCAGCAGCATCATTTGTAATAGCCAGAACCTGGAGACAACTTAGATGCCCCTCAACCAAAGAATGGATAAAGAAAATGTGGCACATTTACACATTAGAATACTACTCAGCAGTAAAAAACAATGACATCTTGAAACTTGAATGAAAGTGGATGGAATTCAAAAACTCCATCCTGAGTGAGGTACCCAAACCCCAAAAGATGTATATGATATGTACTCACTCATAAGTGGATACTAGCTATGAACAAAGGATATTGAGCCTATAGTTCATGATCCTAGGGAAGCTAAGTAACAAGGTGAACTCTTAGAAAAATATATATAGATCCAACTGAAAAGTCATAATAGACAAGATCGCATGCATGTGGGGGTAGAAGGGAGAGTGGAAGGGAAAGAGGAGGCGAGAAGGGGGAAGGAGAACTCGAGGGAATGGAGTAATTGAGATGGAGGAAGGACAGAGATGAGAGCAAGGAAAGAGGTATCTTGATTGAGGGAGCCATTACGGGCTAACAAGAAATTACTAGAGAAATTCCCAGGAACCCAGAAGGATGACCCCAGCTAAGACCTTAAGCAATAGAGGAGAGAGTACCTGAACTGAGCTCCCAAAATTCAGTTGAAGAGTGGGAGGAATGAGAGTATGAGCAAAGAGTTCGAGACCCTGACGGGTACACCCACTGAAACAGCTCACCAACTCCAGCCAGACAGGGAAGGAACAAGCATAGGTCGAAACTAGTCCCTCTGAATGTGACTGACAGTTGCATGGCTGGGGCAGACTGAGTTGCCACTGGCAGTGGCACCAGGACCCATCCCTACTGTTTGTACTGGATTTTGGGGAACTTATTCTCTTTGGATGAATATCATGCTCAGACCAGATATAGTTGGGAGGGCCTTGGACCTTCCCCAAAGCAATGTGACTTACCCTCTCTGTGTAGTGGATTGGGGGCAGTGGAGTAAATGGGGCACAAGTGGAGGTAATGGGAAGAGGGAAGGCAATGGGAACTTGGATTTATATGTATAATAAAGAAGATAGCTTGTTCTTTTTTGAAAAATAAAATAATGAAAAAAAATTAAAAAGAAAACATTCCTATCACTCAGCTTATTTGTTCTCCCCTGCTTCAGTCCCTGACTTACCATTGCCTATGGTATTCAGTGTGATTCATATCCATGTGAAACAACCCCATGAAGACTTTCAATTCAATAAACATCCATCCCCATACATGAAGCACTTCAACAACCATTTTCATTGTCCAGTAGTGAAGCAACTAAATTAATAATGTATCCTATGGGGAAATTCTTTCCCAGAACTGATGGCATTCTTTTATCTTGTAAATTATGGTACCTATCAAGACCACCTAAATATGTCAGAACAAATCAATGAGCAAATCCGCAATTAGAAGTCCATTACCTCCTTTCAGATACCATTAGTTATACTTAGAAACAAAAAGCTGCTTACTGAGAACATTTTTTGCTTAGCATTTAAAAACAAAGCCCATGATATATCTAATATCAGATCTTGTAGGTCTAGAACCTTTGAGATTCTCGAGATAGTTGTGAAATTTCATGAATACTAGTGGCATTAAACTGAAATTTTTCTTAAGATTACAAGAAAACAAGATCAAAGCATGTCACCAAAAACTATATGTAGATATGACTATGGAATCCCAAAGGCTATCTGCAACATTACATGGTAAGGTCATAACATGTATTAGTGCGAGGATACCGGTTTTGAAGCCAGTTAGATTTTGTTCTCATTCCAAAGCATTGATTATTATCTATGGGACCCTGGGAAGAACATGCACATTTTCTAAGACATATCTCTACCAGCTAAGTAAGAAGGACATAATATAGCATGGCTGCCATGACCCAGCAGTGCCAACTACAACTGAAGTTTAGACTCAATAACATGGCTCTTATCATCTTCATTAGTAGAGTGCAGAGATTCCATCTAGGAGGAAGTTTTCTTCATGTTTCTCTACCAACACAGAACTCCCTAAAGATCTGGTTAACAAAAAGCATAGCCTTAACTCAGACAGGAATGTTTTTTGAGAGGAACAGTATCAACGCAGTATCTGTCATTTTACAATAGAGCTCTAAGAATCTATTTTTTTAACTCAGTCAATATGCATTTTATAAGTCATTTCAACGTATTTACTGGCAGTACTTTGAAGTAGTTTGCTAGGCTGGGGCTCAAGGGGGGGGAACCTAAAATTTTATACTTTTATCTGGGTCATTTAGCATTTAGGGAGTCAGTTTCTGTTCCCTAAAGTTGAACTCCTCTTTGCATATAAGTACAGACAGACCAGGTCTAGTTCACATGAGTTTCACGAGGTCCATTAGTACAGTTAGCTTTGAAGAATGGTGGAGTGTCTGATGTTCAGGCTTTGTGTTACTGAATGGATACTGGAGGAGGAAGCTTAATAATTTTCACTAGTAGGTTCAAATTACCCCCACCCCGCTTTTCCCAGTACATATTTATTTAGCTGTTTCTTATTGAGGGAAGCAACTGCAGTATTTTAGGTTATGTGGTTTTGTATTAAGTAGCTAGGATTGAGTTTCAAACCTGGTTTTGTGATATTTTGGATCATAGGAATTAAGGGGAAATTTTAATTTGAGTACACACAGTGTCTTCACTGATAATCAGCAATGCCCAGCACGAAGCTTTGCTCCAACTCCTTATTGAGCTGATATATGCTACTAAAGGCTCTTGAACACAGTTAGTTATTATTTAAAAGCAATTCTCCTGGATACTGAACATTTTGGAGCCAATGAGAGAACCTGCTCTTCCTGTAAACTGAAAGCCAAGCCTATTTGCATGACACCAGGACAATTCATTACAAAGTTTGTTTGATTCTAGGAAGCTGATACAAAGGAATCACCATCCTTGGCAATTACCTTGGCTCAAATGGCTACTTCCCACATATAGGTGTCTGTGCACCTACTGAGGTACCTGCTGAGGACTCATGGTGTTGGCTCCACATACTTTAGCTTCACTAGTTCCCAACTTTTGGGTTGAATTTGGTTGAATTAGACAACTTTTGAGCTCTATTTTTAAGTGGAACTAGATGACAGGGTCAGACAGTCATATTTGAGGAAAGAGGATATTTCTCATAATGGTATAGAGTGTCAGATTCTGGCTCTAATAGATTCTATGTACATGCAATTTTATCATCTACCAGTTTATGGGTATTATATCAAAGTAGTTATCATCTCCTTTCATTCTTGGGAGTGACCTTGCTTGGCTAGTAAATTATAAGGGCATTAGTTTTTCCTACAAACAGGCAAATGAAAACCAGGTGTCTGAGTCTGATTCATGTGCCAGAATAAATGTTTAAAAGAAAGCATCAGAATTTATGTGTACCTTTGGGTATGTGTATACATGCATATGGTGGGGAAGAAAGGAAAAGGCTGTGAGTGCTAAAGGTAAATATTTAATAACCAATGTTTTGTGGAGGTCACTGGAGAGAGTGACCAACTGGAAAGAGACATACAGTCAATTCTATGAGCCTGTGGTAGCTGGCAGTAGCACTATTAGTGAAGAAACTGAACTTAGCATGGCTTTGAACACCTTTTTGTCATGTTTCCCTTTTATAGTGTTCATTCATTACTTTGGTAAAGATAAATTTTGCATATATGCTATACACACAGATGCTTCCTTTATATATATATATATATATATATATATATATATATATATATATATAT